CCAACGGTGGCTCAATAAAGCTCATACATGTCCAAACAAAAGAAACGCACGTTGTTACACACCTAATGTTGCACAATAACTAATTTATCATTCGAAACAATCTGAACACGAAAGTTGTGGACAGAGATAGACAAAAATTCATTATCCAGATACAGAGTTTTGAATAACGAATAATTAATAAAATATAAAAAAAAAGTACTTCGCCATTTATAAGTGATATAAAGTGGAAATTCCAATGTTTCTATAATAAAGTAATATTTCTTGTTGAATGAGTGGACGCTTGGCAAACAATTATTTAATCCCATTAACTGTTTATAAGTCCGAATAACGATCTTAGATACTGCTTCATCTTACTATTATTCGAATAAAATTCTGCTCAACTCTGCGTTTGACTGTTTATTTATAAATTCAAAAGAACAGCAAAATGTCCGAATACATGAATAAATACATTGTCGTTTTTTGCGCACCTTTCAGCGTGCATAATTCGACCACAGCCAGGAATCAATACCACCGGATATTAAAAGGAAACAATATATCGCAGTCGTACGGACATAAATATAAAAGCCAAAATGCAGAAAGAGAGAGGAAACAATAAACCCAGTCGCACGCGACTCTGTGGGAAGCGGCCGGTGGTGAACAACGGAACTATACGCATGCGTTCCACCGACCATCAAAGGAACATAGATACGTATCCCCACGCGGCGATGTGACTGAAAGCGGTTGCTCGTGTATGTGCGTTTATAGGGGGAAAGGGATGAGGGATCGGCGTTCGGGGAGGGGCACGTGTTAAAACAAAATAAAAACGAGCCACGGGGCGTTTGTAAACGGAAGTAGGGATGGGCACTCTCGATGTATGGCAGTACGTTCTTCTGGGAACTTTCGATCAAATCGAATTATACGAATGCTGGACACGTTTCTCCGTACATACAACGACGTTAAGAGGAAACAAACTTCTAAGACTATAATTAGACTGCGGGTTATATGCAATTATTGCGTATGAAAATCTGAACAAACTAGTACATCAATGAAAATTGACAATTTTATAATTTTTATCGACTAATCCTTCTTTCACTTTGTTAAAATAGTCTAATGACTCTTACTTCGAGAACTTTATCCAAAACACGTTTATGGTAAGCTTTATTCTCAATTCAACGATATAATGACACGTATTATTAAACCTTTCATTAATTTGACACTACATATTCACATTACCTCTGATCCTACCTTATATTCATTTGTAATACAATTAAAAAAATTAATAAATATGAATGTACATATGTATATACCACTCATGTTATTTTCATTTCTGGGATTGTGTCGTGTAGCCGGAGTCAACGTTGTATCGAGCTATTGCATACACTGTAAAGCAGCGAATAAATTTCATTACATTGGTCCCCGTTTAGTCTTCGAGTATGGTGACCGGGTCCGATTGTACCCGCGCTACTATGTATGTAATACTTACATTGTATGTGTATTCCGAACAGGCGTCAGATGCCCGTTCTTCATAGTGGGGCCCCCCTTTGTCTCCTAGCAACCAATATTTTTAGACCCAGCCCGCCGCTGCCTTTAGGACCCTTTCTTGCGTATCTTGCACGCCCAAGCGTATAAAAACGCGAATCAAGCGGATCTTTTGTATACGATACCGATATGAATAGGGGGAGTACATTATATACACGAGTAACTTGCATGACAGAAAGACGATGATGCGTCGAGTAATAACAACGTCGAACGTGCGAATTTTCGCGAGAATACAGAATGCCCCGTGAAACCGATCCCTGTTGCTTCCCACGACTTTAATATGCAGACGAGGCAGTTTCGAGCGCGCCGCGCCAACATTTCAACTGGAAGACGTGCAAGCACACCTCGTTTCTCCCTATCGAGTATCGTCTGGTGTTATATGTATACACGATCGGGTATACAACCGTCACACCAAACCGAAAGAAACATTCTCCGTTTTTGAAAAAAACTTTCAGACATATTTCAGTTTCGTTCCATGCACATAGACACGTTAAGGTAAGATAGTAAAATGAAGTAGTCCCCACCTTAATTCATAATGCATGTGCCGCCGTTGGGTGAAGCAGCTATTTTCAACACAAAAGCTTTTGACCGTTCGTATTATTCGTCTCGAAACCTAGCACAAACGGTTGCTGGAGTGCGTTACAACACGATTTCTAACATCTGCTGACCACACAGTCCACCGAGGGGCTTGTACTAATGCGTCGTCGAACACGCAACGGCGTTCAAAAATACGTATCGCTCGGGCAAAAGAAGAAAAAACATCGAAATTCACTCTGCTTTACGCGTCAAGCGTAGAAAAGGCAAGTGCAACGTACATATACATCTGTTTGAACAATGGAAGTATATAGACACATGAATTACCTCGCGGATGTTGTATAGCATTTCGACTAGGAACTGACTTCGCGAACAAAAACAACTGTATAATTAACATGCATATACACTCAAGCGCGACAACGAAATGACAACTTATTCTTTGCTCTGCTGCAAATACGCCTTGCATACAGTCGGTGTATCCGCACACACGCGACCGTTGAGAAAATAAAAAAAAAAACAAAAAGAAGGTTGACTTTCTCCTCGAGTAAACGGAAGAAGAACAAGAAAGAACCATGACAGAAAGAAGACAGAGCAAAGTAGCGAGTAAGATAGAATAAAGAGATGCACAAGTGCATGTGGTTGCGACTTACTGTTAAAGACGAGCAGCTTCCGTGTGGAGCCAAGCCTCTTGATAGGTGATTTCACGCCGTCGATTTCTTCCTCGTCCATCGCACTTCCTATCGTGCTTCGATTCCCGTGAAATCCCCACAGGGTGTCCGTGGGGGGATGATGATGATGATGATGACGATGATGATGGTTTTAATCCCGTTAGTATACACCCGCGAAAATACAGTTCCTATAAACGTTCGAGCAAACGAATACTTGTCACAGTTTAAAGCATTCTCGGGCACGAGGAGGTCACCGCTTCGGTGTTGCGCGGTGAAACCGGTTTACCGGGTGGCGTTCGTTCGGTGCTTTTCTACAATCTGCACTATATAGACGCGCTATCAACGAGTACACATGTGCTGGCCGCCCCGTTGTGCATACGGCCAGCCTGTAAAAGGGGGAAAGGAGATGAAGAATAAAAAGCAAACAAAAAACAAAGAATTAAGGCGAGACGTGAAATGCCAAACGAAGAGAACGAGGCGAGCGTGCGGTCGGGCAAGCGAATCAGCGAACGAGTGAACGGCGCGCGGTGCGGCGGCCCGTTTATGCCTCGGCACAACAGAGATAAATCCCGACACCGCTTATGGCCGAACCTAACAACTACGAGGAGAGAGACGACGACGATCACCGTGCTAACGCCAGCTGCTTTCTGGCGATCCCGAGGCACACAGAGGATATTCTTGGACTACCGTATATATATTAATTCAAGTTCGGGGGAACCGGCGTCGCTACCGCCGTCACCGCCGCCGTCGCCTTCGCCGTCCGTACCATCGTTACTTGCCCGCCACGTCGCGTCACTTTTGTTGCTTAGCAACTGTTTGCGTTGACGATTACGACATTTTGCTGCCACCTACCGTTCGTTCGATCGAATTTGAGATCTCCTCGATGGATAATTCGAGGTTAGCTTTAATAACACCTTGCAAGTAGACCAAGGAACATGCACTCGATCTTTTTGCGGCTCGAATTTCCAAGCACATACGAAACATAGAATATACGGAGCATTATGTATGAAACTTCGTGTTTTCGAAATCTCTGGGGTATCGAGGACCTGGATGGTCAGCGATTTCAACGGCCTCTACTGGCCTCTACGTTGTAAGCAGTTATAAGAACGGTGAATTCGGAAACTATATTCAAGCCAGCTTGAGCTCACACGGGGAGGCTCCCAAGATGTGCCATTTCGATTTCAATAGAATTGTACAAGTAAAATATTAGCCGCTGATGATCATACACTTTTGAGAAAGGAGAGGTCAGTTTTCCAAAAACCACACGAATAATTAAACATTTATATATATATTTAATATTTACGTATAGTATTAAAGACATTCGGTGTTATATAGAGTTGTAAGCATATACGTTTTTTCTGTTTATAGCGCGTCCCGATTTTTGTACTTACCCAATCAGTCATTGGAATTACCATATTTTCATTATTTACCAATGATTCGGCCAAATATAATGCTTAAATTACGCAGCTTCTACGTACTAAAATTTACGACCAAAATTGTACATAAATGCAAAGACAATGAGTTCATAAAGATACATTGTTTGTTATCATCAATTTCAATTCGTTTGAGGTGGAAAACATTTATCAATATCTTATGATATTTTTACTGTCCTCTTCTTCAGGTTTTAAAATCTTTGATGCTTTCGTGAACGCCATCTATGATAATGCTTCTCATCGATTTGCTAATGTCGCCAAAGTTTATGAAATATCTGATTAATATTACCAATTAAATAATAGGGGAAAGTTTTTTTATGAAGGAAATAAAGACTGTATGGTACTATTTTTAATCTCCTTAAACGTTTATATGGACAAATAAATGACAGGTAGAGTTCGAATGACTCCTTGTCAAGCAACAATCTGAAATATTATATATATATATGTAACAAATGTTAACAAATTCCGAACACTAAATAAAAATCTAAAGGTATAAAATTGTCAGCTTTAAGCAGTAGTCAAAATTACAAATGTTTTCTAAGTGCTGGTAGATATCTTCAGTTACATATGGAATGAAAATTCCTACTATCTATTCTGAATATAAATCGATGTAAATTGAAAACATAATTACGAGTTGACGTTTTTGCTCGTTACTGCAAAGCAAGCTAGTGAACAACAATTTTAAGTATGATATTATACAACACACATATTTGCATTAATTGGGTTTTATTTTTTTTAAATGAATACATATCTTAATTCAGTCAGGTGAGCCAACGAATGGATAAGATTGTCAGCTTTTTGGTAATGATACCAACGTTGCAATGAAAAACGATGCACACACGATAAGCGTAATTAGACGACAACTTCATCATAAACTTAACATACTGTCAACGAAACGTCGAAAATGTGGAAAAAGCGTACAGACAGTGGTAAACTATCGTTACGATTATTATAACGGTCGAAGTATGCAACCATGTGGCCTACGAGACACGAAACGATGACCCGCGATGAATGCAGAAAATGTTTACGATATTTGGGTAAGGTTAACTTTCAAACAATTGTTTTCTTCAGTATTGTTTAAGTTCTTGAAATTTCAAAATAATTGTAATATGGTTGAATGATGGAAGCGGTCATTTATTCGATTACGTTGAAGATTATTACAAATCAACAGTGTGTGTGTTTGCGTGTAAATTTCTTAGTTATTATAAAGTAATTTGTAATATTTACATATGCTGGTAATCACAGAAGGACTGTGTTTTCTGTTTAATACAGAGTTAGATGCTTATGGAAGTATGGTGTCTGTACTGCGTGCTCAAGGTCCTTTTACTACTGAGAAACAAAAATTGTTACAAGAACTTGCTAAAGTTTTACATATTTCTAATGAAAGACATCGCGCTGAGGTAAGAAGAGCAGTAAATGATGAGAAATTAGCAACAATAGCTGAACAGTAAGTATTGAATTACAATATACACTATAGTTTTTAACACGAAAGACACATAATTGAATTCTTCAGATTTTGTTTGTGAATGTTAATACATGTATTTGTAATATAGATTAAGTGGTCCAAATACTGGCACAGATTGGACTGTTGAAGGTCGTCGTGCTATTCCCCTTTTGCCAAGATTAAAGGCCAGGTCTGCTTTCACAACGCTAGCAAATAGCTTATCTCTTGCAACTGCAGCTGCAAACAAAAGGAATCATCCTGTTCATGAAAAACCGGAGGATGCAAAAGGTTTTAAGGAAAACTATTATCTATTTTGGTAAATGTGTGGTTTTAGTCTGTGTAAAGTAGCATATGGTCATAGAACTGTAAGTTAAGAAAATTTGATTCAGTGTTTTATGTGTGCGTTATTTTACATAAACTAACATTTTATACTTGTATGTTCATGTCTTGATAGATATTCGATGTGAATCTCCTGTTAAGGTGAAAGTAGAAGAAAACATACTTAGTGATAGTGAACTTTCATCTGTTGAAAACAAGTCTAATGAAGAAAATGTTATGAATGAGGTAACTTAGTTACAGTATTCATTGTATATTTCAAACTTGTTAACTCTTTTAATTAATTCATCCATAACATTAAATACATTACAGGTTGCTGAACTAAATGAAAATAAAAACTTCAATATTAATCAGTGCAGTATTTCAGAAACCAATGACACGTGCGCTACTTTGAAAAAACGTAAACCTACTTCTCCCCTTCCAACGACACATCCTAATAAAGTAACGAAAATATATTCTTATAATTATATTTTCTCTTAGCAAGAGAATTAACAGGATAATTTCGTACAGGTTCTGGTAGTGTCAACAAATTCAATAGGAACTTTAAATCATGGTAACAGCCAAAAAGGTTCACTAGAAAACACTATCCAGTTATCACGGGTGCCAACGAATTCGTTGCAACACCAAAATTTTACAATAATACCCCTTAATATTAATTGTGGCGAAAGCTCTACAGGTTGATATACATTTTACTCTAACACGTTCATAATATATATTCAATTAAATGATGTTAAATCTTTTCAATCTTGAATCTAGATTCTACAGAATCAGTAGTACAAGAAAATGTCAGCAACCACGTAGCGGTGTCATCTAGTAATGCTGCAAACGCTGTGATCCCAGTGGAGACAACGAGTATTGTTAAAGCTAAAGAAAAAATAATTACAACTCAAAGCACATTTAGTAAAAAGATTGGGTCAGCGGTTCTGGTGTCCAGTAACGTACCCTGTACTTCAGTAAATAACTTGCAGCTTGAAACTCAAGACACATCGACGCAAAATAGTTTAAGTAGTTCACAAAAGACAGACTCTGAGAATTCGAACTCCACTACCAGCTGCACAAAACATGTTGTACCAGTTGTACATTCTAATGCAAAACCTCCGATATCTACAACTATTATTACAAGTAATTAACAGTATTATTGAATCACGAAGTATTATATAGTCTGCCCAATGTAAATTTCATTTTGAATTATTTGTTTCTTCTTAGATCATTCGCATCATGTAATGGCTGTGTGTCCTAATACAACTGTATCAAATGGACCAGGACCACCTCAGTCTAAGCAGATAACAACATTAACTTGTACAAAATTACCTACGACGCTCAATAATCAAACCGCTGCCAAAATGGTACGATTCTAAGTTTTGAAAAAGTTTTAATAAAGAGAACAGGCATAAAAATACGGGAATACAACACAATGACTAAGAATAACTCGTTTCTGATGTTTCAGGGTGTTACGCTAAATTCTACTAAAACTGTAAATATATCTCATCATCCGAATACGAAATTAGCATCTAAACCGAATTTGATTGTTATACAAAAGGGTCAAACCAAAGGTGTAACACTTTCTCATGTAGGCAAGGTATATCTATATCATTCAATCTATGTAATAACATTTCCATGTTATTGAGTTTCAGTTGTATCATTAAAGTAAATTTCACTATTTTAGGAGGTATTAGGGAAAGTAATAGTGGGTGGGAAAAATTTATGTGTTACGAGTCAACACAATGCTTCTATTAATGTGCTACCACGCCATATCACGTTGAACAATGGAGATCAAGCAGTAACTATGTTGTCAGCAACAAATTCGTCTCAAACGGAATCTGTAACATCTAACATAAAAGTTTGTTTACAATACTAAATAACTGTTTGCTGCGCGTGTACATATAGAAATCATGGAAATAATTAAGAATGTATTTATGTACTTTATTTTTCAGCCTGGTAACACAATTATGTTCAATCTTCGTCAAGAAGTCTTGGAGAAAAATAAATCTCTGTCTCATCTTTTTGAATCACCTAACGTTCTTACCTCAGAATCTAAGACTGTGATACAAAATACGCATGTTCGGCTTTCGAAGGAACTAAATAACAGTGACTCACATGTACAGGATAAAGAGATCATTGTAAAAACCGATGCTGTAATTACTTCTGTTAAAGATGAGAAACACAGGTCAGTTTGAAATAATCTAACTATGTTGTGAAATTGTTATGTTAAGAAGTGCATGTAATACGAACAAATAACTTTTATAGTTACCTTGAAAGTTTTTCATAAATTATTCTTTGTAAATTCATAAACATATGATTTACTGCCCATTTAAATTGTTTTGAGCAATTACAGTTTCAGTACTTCGTCACGTAAATATTTTTTATTTACAAATTTTTCTATACTTTTATCCAGTGCATAATGTTTTGCGCGAGTAACAATAGTTATTTATTTTGAGAACTTTTAATACTCAGTGGAGGATCATATATAGAAATTGATGATTATAATAATTTATAATAAAGACCTTTACGAAATATCTCATTAAATTCATATAAAAATAATTGATGATTATAATAATTTATAATAAAGACCTTTACGAAATATCTCATTAAATTCATATAAATACTGAATTTAACAGTAAAAGACTGGATATATTCCATAATATACGTAATACATATATGCCTAAGTATTTAATTTTTACTAGCTTTTGATCCTTTCAAACGAATGTATAAGTTTCTCTTTTGCTAAATCAATAGTTTACAAAGTGGAAATTGTATTAACGTAGGAATCGTGCAATTAACCTGTTTAGAAATTGTAATTCTACACGACTGAATATTTTACATCTGGCATGTGCCAAATTTGTAATATATTTACAGTGCTAAGAAAAAAAATTTGTTTCTATGTTTCTGATACTTGCTCATGCTTTACATTGTTCAAGTGCTGTAAATATATGTACGATGTAAATAGGACCTTATGAAAACCAAATAGAATAATAACATTTGTATCTATATGAACTACAATTGTTTCTTGCAAATTTGTGGTAGCTGCATTTCTCTTTTCAGTTTAAGCTTTTGAGTTAATCTACAGTACATTAACAGAAACCTGAAAGTACTTACTAACATGTACATACATGTATATTTTAAACAAGGAAAACCACTATTTGTTTCTTTTTATTGATAATGCATAGACTTAAGAAAAAAAAATCATGACAGTCTTCTAAATGATAATAACTGCCTATGCAAACTGCTCAAGAACATAGTAATAAATTAATAGTTTCTGTATACAGCTGTACAACTCAGCGATTCCATTGTTAATAATACTTTATAAGCTTCGGTTACATTAACTAAATTTACTCGACAAACGTTGGACCTAGCCGAAGGGAAAGACACTAAAGAACTCACTAAGAGATTAGAGTAAGTGTAACCACTGTTCATATCTGTTGTCAATAAAATTTTCAATGGAATAGCTGAAATACAGAACAAATATGTAAATGTAATGATAGTTGTCCTTGTTTTTACTGTTTGTAAATAATTACTGAATTAGTTAAATTATAAATTAAAAATATAATAATAGCATTAAAGTTTGTCATTTATATGCATTACATATATATGTAACTATGTTATTACCAGTTGTCGCAGATATTGTATTACAGAGACAAACTCTGATACTTGCATCACTATTATTATATTACTGTGAATTTACCTTGAATTTCATCTTACAAAATTTATCTATGCATGCCTGTAAGCAAAGAAAAGGTATTTGAATTACAAAAGAGACCTTTATTATCATTAAGCACAGTCATACATTTTAAAAAATGTTAATACGGTCGAGGAGGTGGTCCACCCCTCATCATGCCAGGAGGTGG